TAATAAATTCCTGTTGGATTCAGCTGTGTTATTGTCTTTATTCCTTCCAGTGCTCAGGGAGATTGGAGTTTGTGGATGGATTCAAACCCCAAAGTTTGTTTTCTGAAAGTTCTTTCCCCCTTATATGTGTACGGCTGATGTGATGCAGTAGCTTAGCAAACATAAGCAGAAAGTACATTCTACTTCCGTGTCAGTTGAAAAATTACCTTGAAATATTTAACCCAGCATGTTTTTTCATCTCTCCTGGTATGCCAGTAGCCATATGTGGGTGGGAATTCCTGCTGTGGAGAGTTCAGTCCTGGTGGCTAATCAAATCTGCAACTGCCTTGGGAATATTGCCAAAATAATGCCTGTAATGAAGAATTCCTTTGCAATTGCTTACCTCATGCTGTTAGGCAAGGGGATGTAATCATGTTTGCCACGTATAGAATGATTAAATTTCAGAACATGGTGACCCAGATTTCTACTAACTTGCAAAGATTTTTGAACTGGAAATTCAGGGATGCTGTTTCCCATGCTTCACTTCATGCAGCAGGTACTTTAATACTTTGGTTTTGGTGATTGCTTAGTGGTTATTGCCATGGACTGCAGTACATCAGCTGCAGATGCTGAAACTCTAAATTAAATAAAGCTTTTACTCAAATTGACACTTACAGCTTTAAGAATGAGAATAATTTACCTGATATGATGTTTATGGGACATATCTCTTATCATTTTTAATAAGATTTGAAGGTGAAAAAGTTGCTAATCTCTTTAAGACAGTGATAAAGCACAGAGTGAACATCTCCGGCACTCAGAGTGATTTCCCAGCGGTGGTAATTAGCACTGCACTGTGCTTGCCTTGCAGCAGCAGTCCAGTTCTTCCCTGATGCACTCACTGGCTGTGTGTCAGTGTTGGTATTGTGTCTAGACTTCAGGCTGACTAACCTCACTAATGTACAGCTGAGAGAAAAATAATAAATGCTTCAGGCCAGATTGGCTCTTCACACTTAGTGGCCTGTTTGGGCACCTTCTTTAAACCTCTGGTTGCCGCGGTTTCTTTCTTGTCAATGCAAAAAAAAAATACTATTTTAGAATTTATATACAAGACACTTCAGCAGTTATGCAAACACCATGTTCTAGGATCAAGAGGTCTGGAATAAACACATCTGATAGAGTGGCCAAGTGCTGAGCTTGGGTTTTTGGGGACCAATCTTCTGTAAGGGATCTCGGTGTCACCCCAACCTGTCTCAGCTGCTGAAGCAAAAATAAGATGGTACCCTCCCAGTAAAAACCTGTACAGCCTGTGGAAGCTGAGAAATCTTCCTTCTCAAGAACTTGCCCCTCCCAAAAGGGCAGTAAACAGCAGATCTGAGCTGCTTTATAATGCATGCCTTTTGCATTCAGGAATCTCACACGTGGGAGGGTTGTCTGAGGTTCTTGGGAAAAGCCAGCACGAAGGGTTATGGCTCAAGCTTGGCTCCACTGTTTTACCTCTGTACAAGTGCAGAAGTAACTGAGCATGCATTGGGTGAGCTGTGCACTTTTTGGTGTTCCCTCAGGAGGAAGGAAGGCTCAGCTTTAGTGCCCAGCTTGATCTTTCCCCTTCAGGAAGGAATCTGGAATTCTTGCCACTAACAAAATGGCCAACAAAAAAAAAAAAAAAAAAAAAAAAAAAAAATCAAATTTCAATATGTTCTTAGCATGCCTGTTCAGGTAGTGAGGATGGCCAGGAAAACAGAAATACATATCTGCAGTCTGTTTTCTTTCCTGAATGTGCCTAAAACATCTACTCAGCTCTTGGGGACAGTTACAGGCAACAGGGAGGCTGAGGAAGAGCCCTCAGTGCATGGCTCAGGTTTTTGCTCTCAACAGGATCCAATAGAAAACCTTAACTTGGCACCCTGTGCAGGTATGAGAAACTGTGGGCACTGTTCCCAACAGCAGCATTATTAAAATTAAGAATTGCTGTAGCAAAGAGATGAAAGACACAGCTCTGTTACTGCAGGATGAAGGAAGTTAGGTTATGTGAAGTCAGGCAATGCTAACTCTGAGCTGACCTCTAAAGATGGTGTCCTTACCCAACAACTTGACTTTGCAATCAAAACTTCTTTTTATTGTACTATGTAATTAGAGTATATCATTTAATCAGCCCTTGATTTTGGTTTATTAAATGCTTTTTCAGCACTAAGTGGCAATTAAGCATTGAAGTGCCTTCAGTGAATCCGAAAACCTGATTATCATCAGTCACAATAAATTTGCCTCACTTGTACATTTTGGCAAGTGTCACAGATAGAAATGCTGAAAAATGCTGGAGAGAGGTTTGGGAGCTCCCCCCTCTCCCTTATCCCCAACAGAGGACAAATGGCAAGTGAAACCAATGAGCTGTACCTTTTAAAGATGTTAAAAATAAACCCCTTTCTGCAGCAAACCACATTCACTTCTGCTATTTCAGCTGCAGGGATCTGCTGAGGGAGTTATGTTCAGTGATCCCTGGTATGTAACACTTTGTCTCTACGCATGTATGAGCTAATTACAAATTGTTCTACTGAAAAGGTTGCAAGCCAAACTACACTGCCACAAAAATAACCTTGGCATATTAGGTAGATGCAAACACACAGCAAAAAAAAACCCAAAAAAAATTCTCATTCTAGACAATTTGCTGTTTGAGTTCTTGATCTCTAGCCTAGAGTACATGATACTGAAACTCAGATTTGTTTAGACCTTTTGTTTCTTTTAAGGTGGGGATCTTAAAGATTCCTTTCTCAAAATGCCTTTTATGTCTGCAAAGTAACTGTCAAAGAGTTCCAAGTGAGCTCTGGAGCATCTGCCCTGCAATTCCTGTGGTAAACGTCACAGATGCATCCCTAGCCATGGTACCTGTGACTCAGCAGCACTGGTGGGCTATCCAAAAAATGCTATTTTCTGTTAATACAGCTGTACTTGTCTGGGAGTACTGGGCACCAAATCCGTGGCTGTAAACTGGCATTCCAGCTGATCTTGCAGCTGTTTTTACCAAGTGAACAATGAACAGAAGGTATTTGATGAATCTGTGGCAACTGCCCCGGGAAAATCAGATGAAAAACTACCAGCTGAAAAATATTATTGTCATACTGACATGTGCACTACAGTCTTATAATGCATATTGTGTTTTCAGTGAAAACATCTGCCTCCTGTTTGGAAATCTTCAGAACTAATCCCACCAGTGTGAGCAGACTTTAGTTCTGGGTGACAGCTCTGGCAGGATGAGGCTTCACAATGAGGGAAAGGTATTTACTGTGAAAACATGAGTGTGTAATTTGGGTCTTTGTGCTTTGATGTATTTAGATATTTTTCTTTCTTCAGTGCACTGTAAAAATGTTAAGGAGTAAAAATAAACAGAAAAGGGGCACTTCTTCATGGCAGTTGGGAGCTTGGTGAGCTGTGCATCTGTGACTCCTCAGGCATGTATGTACCTGGTTCTAATAAACGACTCAAAATGTTGCAGTTATCAACATAAAAGGTTAATCTCTGCTCACAGACAGATAATTGCACTGGTAGAACATAAATACATTTATTATTTATGTACCTATGTAAGAAGAAACAATAAAAATAAGTTATACTGGAGCGTGTAGAATTAAAATATTGCACATGGCTAGTGACAGACAAATAAAATTGTCAGTATTTTGAAGTCTTTTGATTGACTTTCTGCTTTAAGGTGGCATTAGACTGAACTACAAGGTGTGTTTTTTATACTGCCCTATGGTCAGTGTCCATATAACTTGACCATGGCATTGGGTTTAGTCAAAGCCTTTTTTATCTTGCTAGAACAATACATAGCTCAAATTCTTAGATTTCCATTTTTAAAGAATGGAAGTGCAAACTAAGCTAATGAAAATATTTCTATGTTTAAAAAAAAGTCTTGAAATTATTTATGTGTCCATGATATCGGTGTATATGATATGATTCACATAATTTACCAGAAAAGACAATATATGTGATTTTAACCGCAATGAAAATAAAGGTACAAATTCTTTTCCTGGCTGAATAACATCCATCCAAGGTTATGGATGAATGCTACTACTCATCAGTGCTGAACAGTAAATTCAGAGTAGAACAGGGAATTTTGAATTTGGCAAAATTCAATTTAGAAATATATATATATATATATATTTATTTATATACTAATATATTTATATTTATATTAGATACCATATATTTATAATATAAATATATTATATATAAGATAAATATATAAAATGTTTTTATATTACTATAATATATAATATTTTATTTATATTGCCACATTAAATTATACTGAATGTGGCAATATAAATAAAAAATTAAAAGAAGCCAATGTTAGTTATGCCATCTTCCTTTTCATAGCCTGGATGTGTTAGCCTAGTAATTGGTAAATAGGAAAAGGAGAAAAAACAGTGTTTGGAAGTTTAACTGGAAAGAATATAAAAAGGATCTGGAGAAATCTAATTAACCTTCTTGCCCTTTTCCGTGTTTGGGTGGCTCCTGGGGAACAATCCCGCGTTCCCGCTCTCCCGGAGGACGCAGCTCCCGGTGCCCCCTCAGAGCCGTTCCCGCCGGGCTCCGGCCCCGCCACGGCCCAGCGCAGCCGCGCCCGCGCCCCGGGGCGGGGCTTCCGCGCGCCAGCCAATCACACCGCGCCGATTGCCTGCTGGCCCCGCCCCGCCCAACCTTTCCACCAATCCCCTTCCCGCGCGTCGCTTCCTTCCCCGCCTCTAGAGCGGAAGATGGCGGCGGCTGCAGCCAATGGGGAGGCGGGGGCGGGGCCGGCAGGGGTCGCGCGGCGCGCACGCGGCGGCGGCGGCCGGGGCGGCTCTGAGGGAGCGGGAGCGGGGTAAGGATCGGGATAAGGAACGGGATAAGGAACGGGATAAGGAACACCGGCAGGGACAGGGATAACGATCCCGTAAGGCACACCGGCAGGGACCGGGACCCGGGACACGGCCGGGATAAGGAACAGCGGCAGGCACAGGGATAAGGATCCCGGTGAGGAGCACCGACAGGGATAAGGATCGGGATAAGGAACACCGGCAGGACAGGGATACAGGGATAAGGATCCGGTAGGGAACAGCCTGCCCAGGTGGAATCGCGGTCCCTTGGAAGTGTTCAGAACCATGTGGATGTGGGGACACGGGTTAGCGGTGGCCTTGGCAGTGCTGGGTTAATGTCTGGACTGGATCATAAATGCCTTTTTCAACCTCAATGATTTGTGATTTAATGAAATATATTTCATAATATGAGGTCAGCGTCAGGTGGGAATCTTTATTAATGATAGTAACAATGTAAAATAACAAGCCCCACACCCAAACAAGTCTGGAAAAGGTCAGAAAAAGAGATGAAAGTTGCAGTTTGGGGTTTTTTGTTTGGTAGTTGTATTCCTTTGGGGAAAAAATGAAAAGAAACTTTTCTATGGTTTCTAAAAAAGTAGTTACAGCAATTATTGCCAAAACTGTGATATACATATCCTAAACTTTTATTTTATATAATTAACAGATATCCTTCAGTAGGCTGTGCTCCAGAATTAACTTTTCCTAAAAGATACAGGGAATAGAACTGTCGGTTCTGTGTTTTGTTACTGGCACATATTGGTTATAATCCTATAATTCTAAATTAATTTTTTCTAGACATGTGTTACATATTTGAAAGAATGCAGAAACACAAGCTCTTTTCTTAGCATGCTGGTTTTTAGGTCTGTAAAAACTTTGTTCTCAGAACTAAGTTATGCTAATGCCTTTTATTTCCTCATATTTCCAGTGGGTTTCCTGTTTGAGAGAATAATCAGATTCAGTGAAGTGTCTGTGCAGAGCAGCTCCTTGAAGATAATTATCCCTGCCAGCAGAGTGATTGGACAGGTTTGTGTTCATGTGAATCCCATGGCTTCTAGGTGCTAATTTTAACACTGTGCTTGTTTGTGTTGGTTTCTGTTTGTTTAAAGACTGGTGTAGTTGTTTGTGTTTTCCTCCAAATCTCTTTTTATGGGGTCAAGGAACAGCCCTGTAGGGAAAGGTGGGCCTGGAATTCCTGGACAGCCTCTGCATGCATTGGCCTGACCTTGGGCCTGCCTCTTTCTTCTGTAGTCTCCGACCTTTTGGAAATAAATGTAATAATTTTCTTTCCACACAAGAGTTCTTCTGTGCATGAATTGATGATGTTCAGGTGGCTTAAAATGTTTTTTACAAAATAACATAGGATCATAGAACGGTTTGGATTGAAAGGGACCTTAAATCACCTCATTCCAGCCCCCTGCCATGAGCAGGGACATCTTCCACCAGGTTACTCCAAGCCCCATCCAGACTGGCCTGGAGCACTCCCAGGGATGGGGCAGCCACAGCTGCTCTGGGAAACCTGTGCCAGGGTCTCACCACCCTCACAGTGAAGAATTTCTTCCTGCCCTCTCTCAGTTTAAATCCATTTTACCTTGTCCTGTCACTCCAGGGTCTGGTGAGTAGTCTCTCTCCATCTTTCTTGCAGGCTCCCTTCAGGTACTGGAAGGCTGCAATTATGTCACCCCCAAAGTCTTCTCTTTTCCAGGCTGAACAATCCCGATTTTCTCAACCTTTCAAGATGAATTTTTTTAAAATGCTTTTTTCTTTCACTGCATCATTTTTGCAGGGCAGCCCTGGGGTCAGGTCTGTACCTGACTGCGTGGGAGGTCTCCTGAGAGACCAGATGGTTGTTGCCTGCTGGCAGCATTTTCCAGCTTTGTTGTGCTTTTTATTTGAAGTATAAAAATAATGGTATTTCCAAGCATTTCTGGGGAAAAAAAAAAAAAAAAAAAAAAAAAAAAAGAAAAACAGGCAAAACAGAAGGAAATCAGCACTACCATGCTGCTCAGCTGTGTTGATACCAAACTGCCTCTGCAGACAGTCCAAAACTTGGGTTTATTTGGTGAATGAAAAGATGTTTTTTATGGGGCTCGGCTTCTCCTGTGTGAGGGCAAACCCATTAGTGGCTTTCACACCAGACATTAAAAAGAAGTGTTGAGAATTGTGAATCAGGGTCTTGGCAAGGTTTGGGACTGTGCTTTTGTGCTCCAAAGCAGTTCAGGTGCAAGATGGGCAATGGAGGATATAAGAAAAGCAGAAAATCCCTTGTGGGGTTAGGAAATTCAGCCTCAAACATGCCTTTGCCCTCTTCAGGGACCTTCACCCACTTCTCCCTTAGCTCTTCCCCTTCTCATGTCCCTGCAACTGTCCCCTTTCCTTCAACAGAGGAGTTAAACACAAAAGAGTTACATAAATTCTTGCTGGTGTGTTTTCCTCTCTTATTTCATCCTGCATTTAATTTGGGGCTGGTTAGTTAAATACATGTGGAGGTAACTTCTGCACATGACTGAGACAGTGCTTTTTTAGCTTCTTAAGTGAGTGGAAAGTGGAGGGACTTGGAAATGGGATAGAGATGGATGCTTTGGTAAATAAATGATTAGGCTGGGAGTGAAGGATGTCTGATGCTAAAATATTGTCTTGGTTGAATTGTTTCTGTGATGTATTTTTGCCTTAGCTGATACTTCAATGCAAGTTTAACAAAATATTTGAGTAAGAAGAAAGCAGGAAGTGGGGGTGGGAAAGAAGAAGCTCAGTCAGTGTTCAGGACTGTAAAAATCACACTCAAATTGCAGCAGCACAAACACTGGGTAATTCCATGAGGCTGTTCTGAAGGTCCCAGCATAGAATGTGTTTTCTGTCCTGTTTCTAAGTATTATATAATGAGTCTTTTCAACAGCAAAAATAATTTAGAAGTATTGGCAGGAAGCAAATATTTGCAGCTGTCCATTTTACAAGTCCATATTATGCTATAAACTTTTCAGTCTGATGAATTTTGATTCTGTTTATGTCAGGTGTTCAAGTCCAGCAGGACTATTACATTATCTAATCTGATCTCCTTTGCAACATAAACCATCTGTACTGTTATTTATACCCTTTACAGACTTTACATTAATTTATCACCTCTTTTTCACATTAATCTCAAAGCCCTTCTTCAAGATTGTTAATATTAATCAGGATTTTGTATTATTTTTTATTGCACTGTTTATATTGCTGAAAATGTTTTAAGGTGACCTTAATGTTTAGTTTGAGACTAAATGTGCAGCAGATAGAGGAATGCAAATATTTAAAAATATATTAGTTCCTATTGTTTTCGTCTTTGAGACTTGTTTTATATAAGAATGCACTGTGGCCTTGAAAGGGCACTTGCTATTCCTTTTTATTTCTGTAGTTTTCCAGATAAACGATAGCCTAATAAAAAAATCAAAATGAAAGGGTTCTTTGTTTAATATGGCAACTGAATCTTATCTGTAGAAATGCAGGTACATTAAAACACTCCTAGTTCTTATGCTGACTTGAATTAAATTATGCAAATCCAAAATTAGTTTTAAAGTACAGTGATTGTTTTGCTGTATTGTTTATAACCTTTCTTGCAATTGCTTTATTTCTTCAGCAAAAATGTATTTTTTTTTGTATTTTAACTGATTAACAGCTTTTAACTTGCACCTCTCTGCAGCTCACCATCTGAGCTCATCTCTTACCATACTGAGATCTTTCTTTTTTCCCCTGCCTGTTTTTCAAGGCAAAACCGTTGCTCAGCTTCTCATTAAAAATAAGATACGAAAGTGCTGTTAAATTGGTGAAAAGACAGCCCAACATTTAGTTAAAATTGGCAAACTGGAGTTGTATGCTGGCAGTACCTGTAATAGGAACCTATATTGTTCGCTTTTCAATAATTTGAGGATCTTTTAATAATAATAATTTGTGTATATTTGTTGCTATGGGGAAGAGTGGGAGAGCTGAAATTAGGTGTTATTACTCCTTTGTGCAATCAGAAGGGACAAGCAGCTGTGAAAGCAAAATTTCTTGTTTAGAAACATACAGCTCTTACTAGCAATTCTGACTTCAATTTTTATGTGGCTCATGAAGGAGTTTTTTGAGGTAAGAGGATTTGATTTTAGTTTGTTCAGTGTCTGCCAGGATATATATGGAAATACATGACTCAGATTTGAAAGGGAGAAAGATTTAAAGAAAAGTTAATTTTAGTGATTTAATGTCTTGGGCAACTATTATTTTGCATGTGCATTGAACACTCCTGCTTCAGGAATGTTTGTGGGAGATAGATATGAGTGTAAGAGGTTGAGAAAGGAAGGGTTTTGTGCTTGCTGGGTTTGGTTTGTTCACCCCTCTTCCCTAGGAAATGTGAGTGATGGGAGTTTCTGGAATCAGCACTTGCTGCATGCTAAAAGAGCAAAAATACAAATACACACAAAGTCAGTCCTTCCCTGTATGTTTATGTGTGCTTTGCATGGACATATGAGCGTTGGTATGAAGTCAGAATGATCTAAATCTGTGGATTAAAGTCACCAAATGAGACTTTAATAAAGAACGTGTATATTTTTAACCTCTGATCTTTCAGAAAGAAAAGTTGTGGCGTAGTTGAATTTGGTCGGCTTTTTTTTCTCCCGTTTTTTGTGCTAGGCAGTTCTAAGCGAAAGCTGTGATTTCTGATTAACGTTCTGCTTTGAGGAAGGGAGGCTTTTAAAAGGAATTAAAAACACAGGTGCTTTATTAACACTCACGTTAATTATTATTGTCTCGGTAATTCGCGACCGCTCTCTGGGCCGGTCACTGGCGACACCCGGTGGCCGAGAGCGGAATGACAGCCCCTGGCAGTGTGTCCCATCCTTTGGGGCTTTCCCACCCCAAATCCTTGGGATTGGAACGTGGCTGTGTGCAGGGGCTCCTGCTGCCCCGACACTGACAGGAGGCCGCCTTAAGCTGGAAGCTGCGTGCTGTCTGTGCACACACATGCCTTACTAAGGTCTGAATGCTGCTTTTGAAGCTGAGCAAATAAGGTGTCTTGTTATTGTCTGCCTGGCAGCGTGGTAATGAGCCAGTTTATCTCAGAGTTGCTTGTTTCTCAGTCTGCCTTCCTATTTGGGTTCTTTGCTGTGCAAGGACAGTGGTGGGTGCCAGGCTGGCGGGGTTGTAAAAGCAGATGAAGACAGTTAAAAGTTTTTACCCTGCTGTTATAACTGGGAAGTATTTTGCTAGCTAAATTTTATGATTTCTGATCCGTGTTTTATTTATGGTCAGTTTATACTTTTAAGCTCTTGTGCCAGTATTGTTCTTGAGTAGCTCCCCTCCCTCCCCAGCATTTATTCCTTTGATGTATTTGTAGATAGTAATTGTATCCCCTTCAGTCTCTGTCTTTGCCAAGCTATACAAGGCAAAGCATCCAGCTACTTCTTGTGAAATAAACAGTCCATTACCTGCATGATCTAACCCTTCCTTCTCTGCACTTGATTATGGCTTAGTTATCAAGACATTGGCCTCAGCACAGGGCACTGCTGGGAGCCTGCTGTGACCCTGTGAAATATGAGTTTACTTAAGCACTGAGAACAAACATGGCTTGAGAGCAGGGTTATTAAAATGCAAAAACCTCTTGACTTTGCTTTTTATCCCTGTCTTTTTTTGGGGCAACAGGCTGCTGAAGATGTTGGAAAGGTATTTGTGGATCTCAGAAAAGTAAGTTCCCCACTGAGGTCTTCAGGGTTCTTGGGTCCTAACAAAAACATGGAGTTCTGGTTTGGCCAGCAGGGATTGTCTGTGCTGCTGCATACAGCAGATCTCTTGATCAGAAAATCTGGAGTATCAATACCTGCACACTTTCTCCTTTGTCCTTCCCTTTCATGATTTTATTTCTTGAGACTGAGTCCTAAATCACTTAAAGAGTGAAAAAAAGTTGAATGTGAACTTCCGGTAGAGTATGGAAAATCACTGTGCATTTGAGTGTCATAAAAAGTAAAAGCTGATTTTTTTTTTTTTTTTTTAATCATTTATGGCATTGATGAAGCTGCTGCTGG